TATAATTTAATGTTTATATGTTAAAACCCAACCAAAAATAACGTATACAATATACTGATTAAACATAAAAAATCCAATCAAAATCACATATATAATTTAATGTTTATATGTTAAAATGCAACCAAAAATAACATATACAATATACTGATTAGACGTAAAAAATTCAACCAAGAATAACGTATACAATATACTAATTAGACGTAAAAAATATATGCAAAATTCTGTATACAATATACTGATTAAACATAAATTCTGTATTTTTTTGCATACGGAAAAAGCTAATTTTCAGTATCTAATATATGGAAATACTAATCAAAAATAATGTATACAATATACTGATTAGACGTATAAAATCTATGTAAAAATTACGTATATAATATACTGATTAGACGTATAAATTTCGTATGTTTTTGCATACAGAAAAAGTCAATTTTCAGTATCTTGTATATGGAAATATTTACGAATTTATTATACTGTTTGTTTACATTTTTATACGTTTTTTAAACGTATTATTTCTGTATACTTTCCTTATACTAATTATTTATAAGGAATATGTCTTCATAATAATTATTATTTATATTTAACTAAAATAAAATATTAGCAATTTTATCCTGACATATAATGAAGTTTTTGAAAGTTATTGAATTATTTGCTAATTATCTTTATATTACAAGTATATCAAGAGATGATAGGTGTTATAGAAGCTGAATTGTGAATTCATGAACAATTTGAAAAGGTTTATAATATTCTCCTATAATCAGTTTATTCTTCTCAAGTCAGTATACTGTCATTACTGTGAATACTAGAACAATTAACATCTCTTCTATTTCTGTAAGTCCTTTTAGCTCTTCAAGTATAATTTCTAAATCCATATTATTTTCTTCAAAAAATTTTTTTGGACTTATCTTTTCCATAAAGTACCGATGGTATATTCTCTTAACAAGAATTATTGATAGAATTCTCTTACTACATACAGAATAACAACAATATCAAATATTATTGTTCATCCTTACTGATGGTTTGTGCTGATTTTGATCTATTATCAGTTTCTTCTGCTATTTTTTGACAGTTTTAATCATTATGAATATATAAAGCTTGTTTTTGCTTACTTTTATGATCAAGATGCTTCTTGCATTCGTCATAGGTCTCCATTGAAATTATTTGCAATTTATGTTTATAATAACTTGTAAGTCATACATTACATTATTCATATTTTGGTATGATTTATGATTTTTATGATTTTTTTTATGCAAATTGAAATCTTTTAGTATTTTATATCTGAAAAAAAAAATCATATTTCATTGTTTTAATAATCATTTTAATAATCATAATTTAATAAGTTTTATTTATGTAATACATTGTTTCAATAATTATATAATTATATATTAAAAAATCAATGAAAATAAAAAAAATCTAGCAGCTGCAGTCTTGTCTTTGTTAACAATATTATGCCTTGCAAACTGTATTTTCAGTAAATATTTGATAATTTCTCTTTACTATTTAGATCTGAAGTTACTACGACTTCTCAAAACATGAATAAAGGTTTCTTTTTTTTTTGAAGCTGTGATAAAAAGATTAAAAGTAGAATAACTTGAATTGGTATACTGTATACGAAGATCACGAATTTATTTTTTTACAGTTCGTGATAAAATTTTTGAGAACTGATGGTGGTTTATTTTTATGGAAGTTTCTAAAATTTTATACATAATTAACAAATTGGATCGTTCACAAGGTATAAACTTTTAGATATACAATAAAAAAAAAACTGGAGCATTATGACTAAGAAATTTAAGTTTCTAATTTCTATTATAAATCAAGAAATGATTTAAAATATTTGTAAAAGTTCTTTATTATTATAATATTAACTATTTATTAAAAGATCAAAGAATTCTTACACTTAGCCAGAAATATATTAATCTATAACTGTTTCTCCCAGACACTGCGTAGAGGTGACAAGCCTTGTTCAGGTTAAAAAAAAAAATATTTTTTGATAGATAATCAGAAGACGTCAATCAATGACCAAGGGTGGTGATCTATTAAAATTGAGGTTCAGATCATATGATTTACTATGTCTCGTACCTCAATTTTAATAGCATACCACCCATATAATCCAATCAAAAAATAAATTACCACAGGCAACTTAACATGAAGAAGCCCTTTAGATCCTAAAAAAATAACTCGTGTTAATGATCACCAATATTAAAGAGGAAGATCAAACACTAGTTATTATAACCACAGGCAACTTAATATGCAAGCCTTGACGTTAATGGATTACCAGTATAAATTAGGAAGGAAATCCTAATACTGAATAAAATCAAAAACAGTGCAGGCAAGATAAAGTGAAACCCTTTAATCCCAATATAACTCGGTATAATGATCTCTTCAAAGACCACTGGTTCATGATTACCCGCTTTAATGATTTCTTCACAGGAAAATAAAGCTGGATAGACTGGAAACTGCGTATTATAAAGCCGCAGGCAAAACGCCCGATAACTCGGTATAATGACCTTCAAGAATAACCTGGTTAAAAATCAAAGACCACTGGTCCATCATTACTCGCTTTGACAATTTCTTCACAGGAAAATAAAGCTGGATAGACTAGAAACCGGTTATTATAGCCGCAGGCAAAACGCCCGATAACTCGGTATAATGACCTTCAAGGTTAACCTGGTTGAACTTCAAAGACCACCTATCTATCATTACCCACTTTGACAATTTCTTCACAGGAAAATAAAGCTGGATAGACTGGAAACCGCGTATATAAAGCCGCAGGCAAAACGCCCGATAACTCGGTATATTGACCTTTAATGTTAACCTGGTTAAACATCAAAGACCACTGGTCCATCATTACTCGCTTTGATAATTTCTTCACAGGAAAATAAAGCTGGATAGACTAGTAACTGGGTTATTTGGCCATAGGCAAATTCTTAAAACTTCTTTTTATCTTTGAAGTACCAAAGAAAAAGAACTCGGAAACCTTCAGGTAAAATAGTCGTGTTGGTCATTTATATTGTGTATAAAAAAAACAAATGTAAGTTACAACATAAGCCCTTGTACTTATAAAAATAAAAAAAAATACAATAATAAAAGGATGTAAATAGCAAATATACCTTCCGGTCCGTGAGAAGTTGGAAGAGTAGATTTCATGCTTTTTATATTATTGCACGTCACATGAGATTTTTTTCGGCTCAGATTCTAATCAAAAATTTCAACATGAAACCAAATAATTTTTACCCAGCTGAGAAAGTATTTACGTTTTATAGATAGATTTATTCGAGAAGAAATAATATTTATACATAAAATAATATGTTCAATAAACTTTCTAAGGACTTTGTTTAATCAAAATTGACGTTTAATTAAAGATAATACAGTTAATACAGTATATGTAAGATTAAATGTTGAAGTACCTGTTGAATCCATCTCATCTTTAGTAGTGAGACATTTTAGCAATCTTTTTTTTTTTAAAACCCTTTAGCTTTTTCGAGTCGGGTTGGATATTATATTCTTTTTTTTTCTTTAGATTTTTCAATCGTTTCGTACTGTGCGATTAAATAAATGTAGTAAGTGTTTTTGAATTATTTTTTTTTTCCAGGAATTTTATAAACTAGAATTTGCAATTTCGGGGGACTTCGTCCTCCAAGCAGAATACTTTTATACAACAAAAATAGAATTTTTATAATAGATTATAGATTTGTAAACAGTTCTTTTTTTTAGTTGTGCTTTTACGATGCTTATATTTTTATTATTTTTATTAACGCTATATTAAATTTAGGATCTTTTTCAGTTAATGATTATTTTATTATTTTAACCCATTTTTTTTTAATTAATACTAAATTTTTCTTAGGTACCTTTTTAAGATTTCAGTGATTTACAATACCTCTTAAGACTACAATTCTTGAATTTTAAATTAAGTAGTAAGGAATTTATCAAATTGCATCAGGGTAAATTACTAGTAATGGAATTAGCGCTTCTTCGATAGTATTAAATATATTAAAAAAAAATTTTTTTTGAACGAGTTACGAAGAATTTGTATTAAACCAAAATAATATGACAAAGCCTTATTTTCTCAACTTAAAATGTTTATTAGCTAAGAATAATTGTAAAAATCTTTCTTAAATTCATCAAAATTTGCATTTTAAATACATATATTCATAACCATTCAAAATAATATCGTTGTTCGATCAACAGAACGACATTGCCTAGAAATAATTGGTCCTCCGGACAATCATTCAAATTCAAATAATGAAAGATCGATACATTTTATTGAATGTCTAGCTAAATTAGAATTAAACCCACTAATCTTTTTCAACCTTGTGAAATAAATATTTAAGGGCTCTTCTTTTTAATTGTTTAGAAGATGTTGGTATTATGTTATATGTAATTAATAATTATTCCAACTAATCAAGATAAATTCTTCTATTGTTAGGTTTGGAAATTCATTCCGATAATATAAGGCCGCGCCAATCCAATATTTTGTTTAACATAACAAAATCGAAATTCATTGGGGAGGATAGGGGATTTGAACAACAGTTAAACGTATAATAAATCATGTGATGTCCCGACAACTTATTAATTAAATAATAAAATTTACACACTACAAAGAAACCCATTGTGTGACAAAATTTTGATAAGTGAAACATTTATATTATGTCTGTCTGACAGTGAATAAACCAGTCAAATGCTTGTTGCGCAATGCGCAGAAATAAAGTACTTTAATTTAATATTTATGTATTTATGAAAAATGGTTCTTATATTTGTGATACTAAAGTTGACCGATAAAGATAAAATATAATGGACTTATTTTGGATCATCATAACACAAATGTAAATAACTTCCGTCACAAGGCTTGTTTTTAAGTTACAAGTTTCGTGATTTTGTTTATCATTAAAGGTATTTCAGATTATAGGGGTCAAGTTGTTATTTCATTTTCCCCTTTATTTAAATAAATTGTAAATTAACGAATTGAAAAATGTCAAATGATAACGATTTTGAATCTTCAAATGACGAAGATATTGAATGGATAGAGAAATCGATGGCACATGAACATATTAAACGATATGAATTTTCTGATTTCAAAAATATAAAACCGAAAGGAAGAGGTGCATTTGGAAATGTCGTTAGTGCATATTGGAAAAATACCGATATCATATTTGCCATAAAATCTTTTAATAATCAAAAATCAACTTATAAAGAAATTAGAAAAGAGGTTTAATATATAATTCTAATTAAATGAATTAAATGTTGATATATATTGTAAATTGATTTAAATCTTTGTTTTATATTTTCACAGATAAAATTGCATCGAAATGTTAATTTTCATTCGAATATAATCAAATTTTATGGAATTACAAAGACAAAATCTGGTAGGAATGAAAAGATATAAAATGAACTTTTATCGATATAAATAAAACGCGCATTTTCTAGAAACTTGCTTTTGGTCTAAACTGTATAATGTTGAATAATTGTTTTTTATTTTTACTTTTTTTTTTTTTTTTTTTTTTTTTTTTTACTCAGACGTGATTCATCAAATGTGCGAATACTCTCTAGTTTTAGAATATGCTGATGACGGCACATTAAAAACCTATTTAAATAAACACTTTAATGAACTTGAATGGGATGATAAACTTGGCTTAGCACTACAATTAGCCAACGCTATATTATGCTTACATGAATGTGATATTATTCATTGTGATTTGGTAAACATTTAAATTTTTTTTTAAATTTTTTCGTTAAACGAAACTAGAACTAAATTACTAATTTTAAATGCTCTTCTTGAAGCATGATGGAAATATTCTTGTTCATCAAAAATGTATCAAGTTGATTGACTTCGGTTTATCAAAAACCATTGCCGAAGCATCATCATACAGTACAAGTAACACGACAAAGATTTTTGGTATATTACCTTATACTGATCCCAAGATATTTAACAATCGTCATAATCTTAATGATCAGTGTAAAAATTACAGGTTAAATAAAAAATCTGACGTATATAGTATTGGAGTAATTTTGTGGCAAATTTCGAGTGGACGTCGTCCATTTTATACCAAAAATTTTGATATAAGCTTAGCCTTGGCCATACAAGGAGGAGGAAGAGAGAATATAATCGAAGGAACTCCTATAAAATATAGCGATTTATATGAATGTAAGTTGATTCATTTCATTTCATTTTTTTTTTTTTTTACAAAAAAAGAAAATATAAATCGAATCTATGTTATTTTTATTAGATTGTTGGAAACATGAACCAAATGAACGTCCTAATATAGAAGAAGTTGTTGCATGTCTTAAAGCGATTTCCCCTAAAATTGAAGAGAAAGAAAATCATCAGTCGATAAAATCTAGTTCTGATTCAAACTTTAGCAAAGATACTACAGATATAAATATGGATCTATTGCTAGATAACATACCAAATATCATTATGGAGCATAAAAGTGCAAAATTACATGTTCATGAAAATTTATCAAGTAACTTTAGTTTACAATCAACGAAATCTTTGACGGATGCGGTAATTGATAAGTTAATAAAAATTTTGATTGAAAAACATAATAAAGGTATTACATTTGATCAAGTTCAACAATTCATTAATCAACAATTATTACAATTTAATCAAAATGCAAATGAACTCATGAAATGGCTGTCCGACAATCAAACAAAGACACAATATATATGGCTTTTAGGTTTATTTTATTATGGTACGGAAGAAAATAGTAAATCTGCTTTTGAATTATTTTTTAAAGCATCCGAAAGTAATTATTCATTAGCCCAAGTTTATATTGCTAAATGTTATAATGATGGGTATGGAATAGAGCAGAATAAATATTTGGCTTTCAAATGGTATCAAAAGTCTGTAGAAAGTAAAAGTATTATCGGACAATTTCATTTGGGATATTGTTATGAATACGGTATTGGGATTGAAGAAAATTTAAAAATAGCCCTTGATTGGTATGTAAAAGCTGCAGGGGATGGAAATGGTTTAGCGCATTATAATTTAGGAATATGTTATGAATATGGAAAAGGCGTTAAAAAAGATGAATCTAAAGCGTTTGAATTTTATTTGAAGTCAGCTGAGCAAGAATATGTATTTGCACAATATAAAATTGCATATTACTATGATAAAGGAATTGGGACTGACATTAATAAGGAAAAGGCATTCAATTTATATAAAAATGCAGCTGAGCAAGGAAATATTTTTGCGCAAAATAATCTTGGATTACTATATGAACAAGGTGAAGGAACTGAAAAGAATTTAAAATTGGCCTATAATTGGTATTATAAAGCAGCTGAAAAGGGAAATGAAGTAGCACAATATAATTTAGGATTATGTAATGAATACGGAAAAGGCGTTGAAAAGAATGAATCCGAAGCCTTTGAATTTTATAGTAAGTCCGCTGAACAAGGATGTTTAGATGCACAATATAGGTTGGCATACTGTTATGATAAGGGAATTGGAATAGAGATTAATAAAGAAATGGCATTGGAATTATATAAAGATGCTGCTGAAAAGGGAAACAAATATGCACAATATGTTCTTGGTTCATTTTATATAAAAGGTGAAAGGATTAATAAAAATTTAGAAATGGCCTTTCATTGGTATAAAAAAGCAGCAGAAAATGGACATGTATTAGCACAATATGATTTGGGTTTCTGTTACGAATATGGAAGAGGTGTTAAAAAAGATGAATCAAAAGCATTTGACATATACAATAGTTTAGCTGAACAAGATTTAGATGCAAAATATATAGTTGGATATCATTATGATAATGGAATTGGAACTCAGGTTAATAAAATAAAGGCGTTTGGATTATATAAAATTGCGGCTGAACAAGGAAATAATTTTGCGCAAAATAGTCTTGGATTACTACATGAGAAGGGTGAAGGGACTGAAAAGAATTTGAAAATGGCCTTTTATTGGTATAGTAAAGCGGCGGACAATGGAAATGAAGTAGCACAATATAATTTAGGTCTGTGTTATGAATACGGAAAAGGCGTTCACAAAGATCTAACTAAAGCTTTTGAATTTTATGAGAAGTCAACTGAGCAAGGTTATTTAGATGCACAGTATAAGAATGCAACTTGTTATAACGAAGGGATTGGAACTGCGATTGACAAAAAAAAAGCAATTGAATTATACGAAGAATTAGCTAAAAAGGAAAATAGCTTTGCACAAAATAACCTTGGTTGTTTATATATAAAAGATAAAGAAATGGCTTTTTATTGGTTTAAAAAAGCAGCCGAAAATGAAAATAAGATAGCACAATACAATTTGGGTATATGTTATGAATATGGAATTGGTATTGAAATGAGCAAATCTGAAGCTTTCAAATTATATAAGAAATCAGCCAAACCAGCCAAACAAGGTTATCTGAACGCACAATATATAGTTGGATATTATTACAATAATGGAATTGAAATTAAGGTTGATAAAAAAATGGCATTTAAATTCTATAAAGCAGCAGCTGAAAAAGGTAATAGTTATGCACAAAATGATCTTGGAATATTATATGAACAAGGTGAAGGAACCAAAATGAGCTTGGAAATGGCTTTTTATTGGTATCATAAGGCTACAGAGAATGGGAATGAAACTGCACAATATAATTTAGGCTTATGTTATGAATTTGGAAGAGGCACCAACAAGGACGAAGCCGAAGCATTTAAATTATATAAAATGTTGTTTGAAAAAAATCATTTATGCGCACAATTTAAGGTTGCATATTTTTATGATAAAGGCATTGGAACGTATATTAATAAGAAAGAGGCATTTAGAATATATGAAATTGCTGCTAAAAGAGGAAATCATTTAGCACAAAATAATCTTGGATTATTTTATGAACTAGGCGAAGGAACCGTAAGAAATTTGAAAAAAGCCTTTGAATGGTATAATAAAGCAGCGGAAGATGGAAACGAAGTGGCACAATATAATTTAGGATCATGTTATGAAAATGGAAAAGGTATTAAAAAAGATAAAATTAAAGCTTTTGAATATTATGATAAATCTGCTAAACAAGGATGCCTTTATTCACAATTAAAAATCGAGAGAAAAGTACCTAAACCATATAAAAAGCTAATTAATTATTTGAAAATGACGAAAAATTTTATAACTGCAAATTATTAAGTTTTTTTTTTTTTTTTTTTTTGAGTTTGTAAAGTTATACTACTTAAATATATTTATACAAATAAAATATAATACCAAATTTCATATTAACATTATTAACAATAATTCTTGCAAATATTTTCCCAAATGACGAACAGAGAAATTTTTCATAAAATGAAATATTTTTAACGAAATGAATGTTCAAAGTTCATTTTTCTTATTCATCACTTGAGTAAGCTATGTCAATAAACAACTCGAACTCGCCTTAATCTTAATATTCCAACTGCAACAATCATTTCATTTTACCGATATGATCATTTATCCGACATGATTATTTATAGGAAATACAAGTTTTAAAAGGAGCAGAAGCATTCACTAACACGTTGTTAGTGATAGTCTTATTATGACGCACGATACTGCGCCAAACATAGTTGACGAATGGGGTCACGAATCTTAACTTTCTATCATTTATTTAATTTCTCTTTACTTTATTAAATATCTATTTCATATTGATGTATTTTATATAAATATCCTGTATCTTTGCCTCGATAAATAAATCTCTAATAAATCAATAACATATATCTTTGAAACTTATCTTTGCTCGTTTATAATTCATTCTTCTTTAAATTTATATCAATAAAGACGACCTGACCTTCAATATAATTAATTCTTGTTTATTTCTTTCATAGTTTAAACGTAATTAAACTCTGTTAGCAAATACGTTCTGTTAACTTAATGACATACCGTTTAAGCTTAACTACGTTAACGCTAACATTACATCATTACTATCACTGACCAACACCACCACTATCAATACCACTACCACCTATTTTATTGACTTCAGCTAATTTATAATAAAAAAATGGTAGTTTTATATATTTTTTTTTGTTGTATTTATATATTTTATATTATCAATGTCTTTAATGGAACAATACAAATGATTATCGGTCAAATGACGTAGACGATAAAATGATCGTTGGCAAAATGGGTGTCGAGTGAACTAGACCCCATGCTTTAATGCGTTATATATTCTAATTTGAAATTGTTAAAAAAATAAAAAAAAATTAAATAAATAAAAAATGTTTTTGCAATTCTTGATAAAAATTTTCAAAAAAGTATTCTTGCTTGATAATTCATTTATAACCATAAATTTATCATTTTTAGTTCCGACTTCATTGCAAATGTTGTTGTCTACATCATTAACTTAACATAATTCAATCAATATAGAATCAATCATCTTCGATTAATGCGGTTCATACACAAACGATTTATTAATTGGAATATTTTAAGCGAAGGTATTATGAAGTGAAACTTAATACATATAACAATTTGACAAAATACAATTTGATAAAAGATAATAAAGTTATTCCAATGTTTATTCTACAATTTAAAAACCTAAACGTGGTTAAGAAATAAAAAGAACTGCTCCTATAACTTTAGCAACATGAATTAAATTATTTTCACAAAGACAACATTTCATCGAAATTGTACTAATGATAAAATTGAAACATTCTAAAAGGAGAAAATATCAGAGTGCGTGTGTAATGTTTCAATCATTTTATAAATTTAATTCTAATGCAAATAAGCTTTAGAGCATAAAATAACACATTATTTAAAAAAGAGATGTTCATAATAATCAGTTAAATATGAAGGATTTCCTGATTATGTATTCTGCAATATCGAGAATTCTAATAAATCAAATGATTCAAACATGCCATGGTAAAAAGTATTTAAACTGTTGTGATCATAAGATTTCTGTAAGCAATGAAAATAGTCTATTATGGATTTCAACTTATGTAAAATGGATGACGTGTAAGTTATAAAAAATAGTGGCACAAAAAAAAATAAAAAAAATGCTGGAAAAGAGGGTTACATAAGCAGATCCAATGCTATAAATGGATCGATGATTGGATGAGAATGTGCACGTAATATGCGTTGACTTATGAGATCCCCCGTTGAGGTCCTATTAGATGCACAATAAATATACATTATGTAGAAAAAATTTAAGTGTTTAAAAACTATTTAATTGGTTATATTTAAAATTCATTAATAAAATTAAGATTAAGTAAATCTAAAAAAAGGGAAAGAAAAAAGAAACGATTAACAAAAATTTATTTTCAATTATAGGTAGTAGAAGAATGCATCGATAATTAATTATACCTACAAAATCTGCTTCACCAAGACCTAAGACCTAGCAGTACTTTCGGTAACGCGTGCAAGTTCAATTGAAATTAATTAAATTAATAAATTGATCTATTATCTTACAAGAAAGTGTTTCGTTAAAAAATTCGTAAGATAACGAACGTTTCATCACATCATGAACAGCAACTCTCAACTTTGTAGATGGCCGAGAGCCTTTTTTTGGCCCAGTGAGAATGAGAAGACTTTTTCTAAAAGAAAATAAATCGAGTAAATTTCGTAATGAAAGTATTGAAACAATCTTACTGAATAGAAATAAAACTTTCTTGAAACATTTCTATTATTAAACTTGTGAAACTGCCAGAGAGATATAAAAATGGTGCAACATTCATTTATCAATAAAACGATATGTAAATCGGGAGGTTTTTTATCATTTATGGCAATAATAGAAATTTTTTTTACGCGTTACATCTGCTAAACTACGAATATAAAATTTGCTGAATTATTCGCTCGCGTTTCGTAAAACTGTAATCTGATTTACGTTCAAATAAGGAAATATATTACATAAGCTGTTATGTTAATTGAACTGCATATAAATTTATACTTTACAATAGTACTTTATAAACCGTAAAAAAATTTCCCACTACCGAACTTTTTTTTAAAAAAAAATAAAAGATAAAAGCTGCGAACTAAAAAAAAATACCTTTCTCTCTTTATCCAAAAAAAAAATGCTTTCAATGTTCGTCAATGATAACGAAAACAACAACGAAAGCGACAACGACAATTATACTGATAACGAAAACGACATCAACAACAAACACGACAACAACAACGACAAATACAATGATAATTACGTAATCTTTCGAAAGGAAATTATCCGCGGTAACCGCAGTACATAAATAGTATCATACCCATGCTTACACTAATGCGTTAATTACTAAATATTAGATAATACCCACGTGTAATCGGGTTTCCATTAGAATTGAATTACTTTGCTTTGAGTTTCGGGGTTTCTTTAATCAAACAAAATAATTCTTTTATTTTAGGTCTCGAATTTGTTCGTTATTTATGGTAAATTTCTCATTGGTAAGAAGTTCGTAAAATATTACAAGCTTCATAATATATATCCTTTAGATTTTCGGGAAATAAAACATATGGTACGGTAACCAACTATCAAGTGTAGTTTCAGAAACTTGATAACAACATTTCTCATTTTCTATTTACCAATCTTATATAGATTCGTAAATAATATGTTACATTTTGCGAGAAAAAATATCATTTCAATAGTTGTCGAATTAAAGATTTGGAAATTTATTATTAGATTATTGTTTTTTAACCAGTTATAATTATTTGACTTGTAATTTTACGTAGTTTTTTAAAACCTTAAAACCATCTGCTCAATTTTAAATATTATAATAGAATTAAAAGATCATTCATATACAGCAGACGTATATAAGGATATGAAGAAAATAAACAAGAATTTTATCTATCCATATGATATAATCAAGCATTATGAAGATATGTACCATTAGGAGGGACGATAACATTGCATCCTTGGTCACTAATGTCAGTTCTGCACTTTGACTTAATATTACAGCAACGAATACAGAATTGGTTTTCTTTAGGCTCAATTAAGGACACAAAATACTTGTACCCGACACAAGTTGAATGTAGAGGAGCTTTAGCATCATATTGGCCGCCTTCGTCATCTGCAAACAATTCGTATTTAGTTCCATCAATGCTACCAGTGACTTGAACAAAACCTTTTCCTCTCTTGAATTTCTTATTTTGGATGAATCCGGTAGGGAAAATTTTGGCACCCTTTGCTTTGGGGCTTTCTGTGGTGCAGAATGGGATGGCAGTAGTTTCGCTATCACCGATAAGTTGATGAGGAGTATTTGGAAGGAACGTGCAGAATAAAGATTCACTCTCAACTGTAATATTCCATTGTGCGCCATGAGCGGATGCAACGACCGCGAGGATGAAAAAAATTGTGGATAACTTGACCATTTGTGTATTTGTGAGTGAGTTAGGTGAAGTTTCTTTTCTTTATCTCCAATTAGGATTGTTATGAATATTCTTAGGACATGGTGTTGAGGTTTATATAAGAAATCCATGGATAAGTAAAATCACTAACCAATTTAAAAATAATCCTAAACTTTTTACCAAAAAAGAGATTTGATTAACATATCCGGTAATTTAGCCATTTCGGAGTCTATATAACCTTATGGGACTTAATAAATCTTCGAAGAGAAATGATATGGGTCATAAGCTATTAAAATTAGGTTACGAGACATAGTAAAGCATATGATCTGAACATGAGTTTTAATAGCAAACCTCCCATATCAGTCGATAATACCAATTTATAACGATAACCTTTTCGTCCTAAAAAAAATTTTTTTTCATATGTATTGATAATCCAAAATAGGATTCAAAAAAGTAGAAAAATTTAACGTTTCTCGGGTTTCTATTCTAAGATTTGATTTTAATCGAATATAATATTCGATTTTCGGTTTCGATTAATCGATTATATTCGATTATAAGATTCGATTTTCAAATTTTTCAAATTTTTCTTTTATTTTCGGGTTCGATCGTTGGTCGCGGCGATCTAAAATGAATTTTCTACTGAGATCAGCGGGGGATGAATAAAAATAAATCTATTGTGACTGAAATTGATTTTAATAGCTATTCTATTAAAATAAATGAATAGGTTTTTAAAATAAGTTAATTTGACTTTTATCTTTTATAAACTTATATTTAGATATTAAAACTACTGGGGGATGACTAGTTAATTTATCATATGTAACTGAGCCATATTTTTTATTAACATATTGGCTGGAAAAACATTACTTTTCAATTTATCACATGTACTAAGCTTCGACATAGGATTCAATATTTGGTTTTTTGGATGTTTCTCTTGCAAAAGAAACCAAATAACAATTATATAATGATATCCTATAATATTTATGATTTCTGAACTTTGGGAGTATTTTCAAATTCGATTTTACATATTAATTCAAACTATAATAATTATGTAATCAATAATCAATATGTTACTAAAAAAATATGGCTTAGTTAGGCCTGGCCAATTAGATTATATGTTTTACATACCCCATTTTTCATGATTATCATCTGATATTATACAATATATATGACCAATAATATTGCATTATTTAATGTTCTCATGATTACAAATATTTTTTTTTTTAATAAATCAACATTATAGTTTCGAAATTGAAAAATCCATCCATTTAGAATGGATTCAACATTCAATTTACAGTTAATTAATTTTACCTTCCCATTACCAATTTTATCAGAAATATTTGTTATGTTCTATTTTACAATAGTTTAATTTTATCAGAGATATTTGTTGTATTCCATTTTTATGATAGTACAACAATTTTATTTAGAGGTTGGAATCAGCTCAAAATCCTTAAGCAGTTAATAACCAGTTAAAAGTTCTTTAACCAATTAATTAATCAGTTAAATTTAACTTAGGCAGGCACTATAATTTTGAGCAAAACTAGTGAAATTTTATAATCGCAAAAAAAATTTGATTCTGTCTGAAATTAAATTTTAGCCAATGTTAATATTAGATATTTTAACCAATTAAAAAATTTTTTAACTGTTTAATAAGATAAATATCTTAACTGATTAATTAATCAGTTCTAAACTCTAATTTTATTCTGATATTTTTCATTTTTATTTAGATTTATATTTTTTCAAGATAGAAAATATTAATAACTGTATAGTTATACCTAAATTTTTTAAAATCAATTATTTAAATATTATATCTTATAGTAATTATTACTAAAGATATTTGAGTACTTTCTGAACAAATAATTACAATCTCAAAAGACAAGCAATTTGCAGAATTATATGAAGTGTTTACCTTTAGACAGTTTAATAATCAGAATATTTAAGTTTATGTATTATTATATTATGATACTAACGACTGAAAATTAGTATTAACATAAGATTAACAAAGGATTTGGCTTTAAGACTTATAATATGAGATTTATAAAGAGTTTTTAAAGGTTTATCGATCAAATGTATTTCATATCAAAGTATGATTTATGAGTTAAGTAATTTAGAGTTTTTATTAAAGAAAAGAATTATTACAAATATATTTATTTGCATACAAGTGTATTTAGTAATTATCTTGTTAGCAATAAAACTAAGTGAATTCTCTGTTATTTATAAAGTTCTAAAGCTATCCTATTTATAAGAAAAGTAATAATATAAATAAACACAATAAAAAATATAAAACTATGTAATTGATTATTAATATAAGTGATTATTAAAAGAAAAGAAAGTTTCAGCGTCTTCTGAAACTTTGTGTAATATTAACTTTTACTATATCTAATTTTACTACCTATTCATCGTTTCTGAAGTAATTAACATTTTGTGCAGATTTGGCATTTTTCAAAGATCTGTCAGAACTGGTAGATATGATAGATATGGCGTAGTAATTTCACATGACTTTTTATTTCACCATATAATTTGTAGTCATTTCTTCTATTATAGTATATCAAAATAAGTCTGATAAATGAGTAGAAGTAAGTGATAGTTTAAGTGATAACCTTAAAATTATAGAAGTTTTAGGATATAATTATGTAAAATTTATACTTCTTATAGAATCTATAGCAGATATAGAGTCACCTAACTTTCCTAATGCATTTGATATCATAATGAGAAATGCATAACAACTAAAACTTTTACAACATTGTATTGAACATACTAGATTTGATTTATTATATAATAAAATTATTGATCTTTTATATAATCAAAAAATTAGTTAGAAAGAAAGTCTTTATCAAACTTTAAGAAAAGAATTTATGGAATGTATTGCTAGTATTCTTGATTTATAGGTCTATATTTAGAGTTATTAAGTTTTCATTTCTGCCATTTATCTGACAAATATAATTCTGATATACATAAATTCATAATAGATAGAATACTAATAGATCAATATTCTAAAAGTCTATTTTTCAAATGATTTGATCCTGTAATTTAATATTCTATAAGATCATGATCTTGAGTGTTTCATATACTAAAAGATTATGATCCTAATAGTTTATATATAATCTATTGTATAATTCTAACTAATTATAAATATTTATTTACTTATATAAATTTTTTTAACTTCTTAATCATTATTTTCTACATCATAAATTTTTATTTTCTTGAACTTAAAACTTGGTTTCTATAAAAAAAATATTGTTAAAAATGAATGAGATTTGTGAAATTATATTATTAAAAAAAGAAATAATAAAATCAATGTTTACAGATATTTAATAGTAAAAGAATAGAGTTGTGATAATATATTTACTGGTGTTATAATAAAAAAATAGAAGGATGCAAAGGTTATATGGTAATAAACTTATATAATAACTTGCATTACAGTAGGGCAAATATGAGGTTTCTGTGACAGATTTCAAAATAGTATTCAGAAAAGATTCCTGACCGCCCGCGAACCCATTTTAGCTATATAAATCAATTATCAAATTCAAACTTCTAGCGCATTTTGACTCAATTCTAGATGATGTT